GGCTGTGTCGGCCTTGCTGTGGTCTACAGGACATCCTTGGGCCTTGGCTGGCGTCTTGTGCGGAGGATGCGGACAGGCCGCGGCCGCCGAGTTGACTTCGGCTGTCATTCTTGAGAAACGAATGGAAAGCTGTGCAATCGACCAACGAGTGTATCGCGTCAAGATGCCAAGCACTTTTCCTAAAAAAAAAAAGTTCTTGCCTTGACTGCTCATAACTTGTGGCCCACCATAATAAAAAAATATCAAAAGTGGTCCGAAACCAATGCACACTTTTTCTATACAAAGTACTTTTTATTTAAATACAGGCCCGCTGTTCATGTGTTTTACACCCACGCAGGTGGTCCACCTTCACTGGTGTTCGATACATCGTTTTCATGTCACACAGGGCGGTGCATTCCACCTTATCTTGGATTGAGTATGCATGGCAAGTTGATGGATAAATGGGTATTTATAGCTTCTCTATAGATTGCAGTCAGGTGGAAATCAAACGTAGTTTCAAAAATAACTTGCGTAAAATATACTTCGAAGTAGCTTCGGTAATCAACAAATAAATTACCATGTGTCAAAAAAGTAGCCATGTTGATAGAGATTCTATTGCTTGTCTGTCTTGTTGCTCTTGTGACGTTTGGCCTTGCGTGCATGTACCTTGTCATCGAAGCCGCGCTCAGTCAGCTTCATCTTGGCGATACGCGTAGCAGTGGTCACGTCATTGAGCAGCTTGAGCACCTTCTTCTCCGGAGCTTCGGTCTCGTAGTCATCCATCTTCTTACCCACCTTGGCCTCAATGTTCTGGAGCAACTCAATGTCGTGCTGTGTCACCAGAGAGATGGCTTGGCCGCTACGACCAGCACGGGCTGTACGACCCACACGATGGATATAATCGTCGGCATCCCGTGGCAGGTCAAAGTTGAGCACGACGTCCACCTCCGGGATATCCAGACCACGACTCGCAACGTCTGTACTGATGAGAATGTGGCTAAGACCGCTCTTAAACTTACCCAGTGCAGCCAGACGTCGGTTCTGTGACATCATCGAGTGCAGCGTCACGCATTTAGTGCCTAATTCGTTGCCGATCTCGCCCACCAGCTCGCACATCTTGCAGGTGGATACAAAGATCATCATGGAGCGCAGCTGACGTTTAGACGTGGCGGCGTCCAGTAGCTTTTCTAGATCCTGATCCTTTTTGCGGCCCTTGGCTAACTTGCGAGTCTGTTGTTCCTCCTCCTCTTCATCAGTGGGGTCCAGCATCTTCATCAAGTACATAAGGTACGTCATCTTGACCTGAGCCGGGATGAATAAATAAAACTGCTTCAATGTGGCTACAGTCTTGACGCTGGGCGTCGCATCGAAGCGAAACGCGTCGTCCGAGAGCGCAGTTTGTTCCAGTCTGTCCAGATTCGCCGTCATTGTAGCCGAGAACAGCAGCGTCTGACGTTTAGTAGGCAGCTTGTCGAAGATGAAGCTCAGATCCTTAGCGAACGAGACGTCTAGTAGTCTGTCAGCTTCATCCAGCACTACATACTTGACTAGTGAGATATTGGGCGGGTCCACACGCAGCAGATGGTCGCGGAACCGGCCGGGCGTGGCGACGATAATGTGTGGACGCTGCTGCAGCGACAGCGACTGCTTGAGCATGTCCACGCCGCCGACGATCACGGCACAGCGCACCGCCATTGAGCTTCCAAAGGCGTTAAACTGGTCTGCGATCTGGAAGGCTAGTTCTCTTGTGGGCGTAAGAACTAGAGCGTACGGGCCGTACGGGTCCTTGCTCAACGTGTGCAAAATGGGCAGCGCAAATGCTGCCGTCTTGCCGCTACCAGTCTGCGCACAACCGATGACGTCGCGGCCAGCGAGAATGGGAGGGATGCAGTGAGCCTGGACCGGAGTAGGGTGACGAATGCCAAGCAATTCGCAGCGTTTGACCAGCCACGGGTCCACACCCAAGTTCAGGAACGAGATGAGCACGTTGGATGCATTCTCCACCTGCACTTTATCGCTCTTGGCGGGGCTCTCGGCATCGGAATCCGAGTCAGAAGACACGGCAGGCTTGGATTCCTCGCTCGGCAGCTTGGGCGCAGGCGCGCGGCGACGCTTGCCGAAGAGGACGCTCATTCTGAACTGAGCAAATGCTGTTCGGCTGGCCAGTCAAAGG